GTCATGTTTCTTTCATTTAATACAATCAAAAAATAGTGCAATATCAAAACGTAACTTTTTTTCTCTCCAATGGCAATTTAAAAAAAAAACTCCGAATATTTGATTATCCGAATCGGTCCCGGTCCCCATTAATTCGGATAATTGGAGTTCTACTGTAGGTGTAAAAAAAAAAAAAAAAAAAATACAATAAATTGAATATAAAACCGTAAAAAGATCTTTTGAATGCTGTAAGTAGTTATAAGTATCCTAGTGTGATGTACGCCATAATAATGCAAGTGATAGTTATTTGTATTTTTTGCTCTAATACTATAAAGGTAATTCAACCTGATTTTAATAGAATAAAATAACTCAAGAATTATATTACAAAGTTTTTGTTTCTGCCAGAAAATCCGATTTGCTAGCTTTGTTTCTCGACGTTTTAAGTCATTCTGAATCGTTGTGTATACGGTTTTTTAGCGAAAATTTTACCTTCAATGAAACTCATAAGGTTACGAATTCTGAATCGTTTGAGCCTAAAATTGGAAAAAGTATGTTTGTGATAGGTATTTTAGCTATTTGACCTTACATGAAACTCATCAAGATTTCGCGTTGATTAGTTTTAGCGACGATCGGTCACGCCATTTCTTTACAATTAGTAGTAGATAGTAGTAGATAAGTTCAACATTTTTCGTCCAAGTTTTAGACGAAAATCCTGCACTAATTTTGAAAATATAAAAAAAAACCTTTTGAAAGATATCAATTGAGCAAAAATCATGCTGATTTGTTTTTAGTAATGATTGTTCTGGTGGTTTTTTTCTGATATAATAATGGAAAATTTTGTTTTGATTATTTTGATAAAAATCTTTATAGAGTTCATGATCTTAATGATCTTGTTATATCTAAAAATTTTATTATAATTATTTAATTTATATTTTAAAGTTCATTAAAAATAAACTAAATTACTAATTAAATCTTGGATTAATTTAATACGTTTTGTTCAAATTTTAAACATTTATCATCACAATTATTAATTTCCCGAAGAAAAGTTTATGATTTCATTCAAAACTTAGATTCGCTAATGTTATGTTTTCGCGACGTTTTAAGCCATTCTGAATCGAATGAGACCAAATTTGGAAAATGTATGTATGTGTGTGTAGATTTTTCATTGGGAATCGTGCTGATAATTTTTTTGTAAAGATCGGCCGGGCAGTTTTCTTTAATAAAGTTAAAAAAATTTTTTTGACGATTTCTAAGATTTTTTTTGAAAAAATTATAAATTTAAATTAGATGATTTACTTAATGTTAGTATAACGATAGAGTGGTTCGTTCGTTTTCAATGATGTGTGATAA